GAAAGGTTTTCGTCAAGAAGTGAATGAAAAGCGGTCTATTTCGCATGAAGCGAAAGACCGGTTTGTGTCGGAACAAACGAAGTAAGATTTATATCGAAAAAGAAGAATGATTTAAGAATATAAAAAATTAGAAGGGTCTATATAGCTATAGGCAATATTCATTACTTATAAATTACACAAATTTAGTTACAGAAAATTAAATAATAGAGGAAAACCTCCTATTATTAGACAGGCGCTTAATATGAGATAGCGGCGTTTTTGCTAAACTAATAAACGCTATCTATTGGTTCCACCAATAGATGAATTTATTGCTCTTGGATCGAAAATTATTTAGTAAAAAATTCATTATTAGATCATACCTGTAGTAAAATAAGATTTTAGAATTTTAGATGTCTTCAAATTTCATTGAGAGCCTTTAAACCTTGTTATTTAATAATAATTTATAAATAAATATTTGACAATAAATTCTTCATGTAGAGTAAAGTCGTTAGAAAAATATGGGATATGTTGAATTGTTTAATTACAGAAGTTTAGATTTGATGATCGTAAAACCATAAGGCATGAAAATCATAGTATGAGATATCCAGGGTATTTCTAATATGAAATAACCCATGTTTCTATGCTATATATAGTGAAAATCGCTAAAGTATAAATATTATTGTACAATAATAAAAAAGACAACCGGAATGAATGTTAAATGCTTATTTTTGCGATGCTTGATTCCAATTACCTGAAGACGAGTTCTGGAGATCGATTCTGTATCTTAAAATGAAATGAAAATTATAAAAGCGAATTTACTAGAATACTGATTATTTCATTGGTCAACACCTAGTAAATTTGCTCGCTTTTATAATTTTTATCTTGTTTGAAGATACAGAATCGACCCTTTGAATATAATCGCATGCTTATTTTTCGCGCACGCTGTGTTTGTTTGTAATTTAGAAACATTAAATAAAGTTTTTTTAATTGTAATTGAATTGTAACTGATATACTTTGCGTTTCTCGAGGTATCTCATATTGTAGAAGCACAATTTTTTGATTTTGCGATTTGTTCGATTTGCACTTTTTACATTATTTTTAATTTCAAATTTTTCAAAAAAAATGAAATTTGAATTAAATTTTATATAACGTTATTTTAAAGCTTATTAAATTCCCTTCAAAATAACTATCTATTATTTTTTTAAATTCTGCCTATGAACTTCTAGCATTTACCCAAAATGAACTCGGTATCTCATAATAGGAGCCTTTCCTCTATATGAATAAATGAGTGCGAGAAACAGGAAAATGAAAATCAAGATGATTCCTGTTCTCAGTCATACCACTAAAATTTATGAGAAAAAATATATTACGCTATAATCTCTTCTTTAATTTATATAAATATGAATTGAACCATTCTTCTTTTTTCTCGATGTACTTTGTATACGTTCCGATATAAATTGATTTTTATGTCTTATGAAATAAATCGCTTTTCATTCATTTCTTGATATAAATCTTTCTTTATGTTTTTCTCGATATCAACACTTTCTATAGCGATATATTGAATTTTTATCTTTTGCCATAATAAAAATTATTTCTCACAGATTTCTTCCCATTTTAACATTAACGTTTTCTCTTTAAAATAACAAAAAACAAATTAAATCTGAGCTAATGAGAGTCAACACGAGTGGAGACGCAATAAAATTTGACAAATAAATTTATTAATACAAAGTGTTGGTGTCATCTTTATTTTAAATCTTGAGAAATCTTGAACGTTTCGATTCTTTTTGGAATCTTCATCAGCAATCTTCTTAATCCATAATAGATTTTCGTGAACAATCAAGGTAGAGTCACTCACAGGTTGCCAAAAATGTAGTGTAATCTGTTTAAATTCATAAAATTGAGATATTTTAAATCAATCAATAAAGTAACAAGTAACTCACCCACACGATCATCAAATCTCCTCAAATCTCCTGTAATTTGGATGATATATTACCCAGCAAACAAGAATGGATTAAAATGAATTGAAATTTTTTTCAATCCGAATGCGTATTTTAAATAGCGAATACTTTTTTTGGATTTAATTGGATTCAATTGGATTCAATTAGATTCAATTGGATGCAATTAGAAAAACTGCATTTCCTATTCAATTTTGAATTGAACGATATTCACAATGTGTATGTTGTGCACAGAAAAAGCTAATATTATTTTTAGATTGAAAAGTATAGAGATATACTCCATGCAATTCCTATAAATGAATGCATTCAGGATTGAAAAGCATTCATTTTAACATTCGTGAATCAATATTTCTGAAAATGTGAATCCATTTCAATTCATTTCTATTCATTCTCGTTTGCTGGGTAATGTTCACAAATAATCGTATTATATAATACATTTTATATAGATTTGATATATTAAACTCTAAACCATCCGGAGTGACAAATTTGTCTAACGATCGTTTAAATTGACAAAGATTGGATTGATGGAAAACAATAAGTCATAATAAATATAAAATATAAAGACAGTACATTCGTATTAATGTTACTGATTTTAACATATATAACGTATATAACATATTTAACATATATAATATCAAGTCATATAATAAATATAATAAATATAAGAACAGAAAATTATTGTAATAGTTTAAAATATAAGAGTTAAAGTATCAAAAAGAAAATCTGAAATAACCAGTCAAAATTTAACGCGTTTTCTCTTCAGACCGTAATTTGAACGCGTCAACGTTGGCTACGTTCAGCGAACTTAACAGTTGAACGAGCGCTCGCTGTTATTAGTGTATTCTTCTAGATCATCCAATCAGCATTTTAGATCTGGAAGAATATATCAATAGCAGCGAGCGCTCACTCAATTGTTGAATGAATGCAGCCGTTATGTTGGCGACACTCGGTGGCAAGTAAACTATTCCTCACGAAAACGCTGAAAATCGTTGCTCTTTTTGTGATGAGAGATTTCTCTTCGCATTAGCTGCATCAGGAGAGCAAATTCGCGAATTATGGATCTTAAGCAGGATCAGGTATACACTCAGCAAACGAGAATAGATTAAAATGGATTGAAATTTTTTTCTATCCGAATGGGTATTTTAAATAGCGAATACTTTTTTGGATTTAATTGGGTTCAAGTGGATTCAATTAGATTCAAATGGATGCAATTAGATTGAAAAATTGCATTTCCTATTCAAAATTTTGAATTGAACAGTATTCACAATGCGCAGAAAAAGCTAATATTATTATTTTTAGATTGAAAGGCATAGAGATATGCTCCATGGAATTCTTATCAATGAATAAAAATACATTCAGGATTGAAAAGTATTCATTTTAACATTCGTGAATCAATATTTCTGAATCTATTTCAATTTATTTCAATCCATTCTTATTCAATCTATTCTTTTGCTGGGCAGTAAAACATAAAGTTTGTTCGCATGACCCAATATGCCCCTTGCCATAGTTTCTACTCACTCTAATGAGCGCATTGGAGTGAATAAGAGCTATGATAGAAACATATTGGAGCATGTTGGAGCGATGCGAACAAACTTATATTTTATATTAAAACTGATCTTTGTTACAATTTTTGTAATTACTGCATTTTTAATATTCGAATGATAATTTAATATAATGTTAATGTCTTATTTAAATATTTTATGTTAAATTGATATTCAATTTTTTTTAAATATTGAAGTAACAATTTATGAGTAAGTAAATAAATAACATATTATGATATAAAAATAATGTATTTTATGACTTAAATTTTAATATGAATAAATAAAATTAATTAAAGCTAATTTAATATATTATTAGAATCAGTCAGTTCCATCGACTATCATGCCGATGTCTTACGAGGAAATGATCCGCCAACTGAACGAAGCGCAGATGGAGCTAAAAATCAGATACGAACAGGCGTCAAAGTTAGCAAGTGAGTGCTCTTCGAAAATCTCCAAAAATTCTGTTCGGAAAGGTATAATTAAGAATATCGATGTTCAAAATAAACAATTTGTTGCAGTTGATTGCGCAAAACTGCAGTTGGAGTATCTAAAGCTCTACAAGCCGCAATTGTTACAGATACTAGAAGAGCTGCGGGACATTTCTATATCCGCGGATTCCGTCGATCCGCCGAATGATGGCGATATCGAATCGCGCGATAACCAGGTAAGAATATTATTTTTGTATTAAATCGGTTCTTGTTAAAATGTGTGTTGAATTTTTAACATGTCGAGTGATAATAATTTAATATAATAGATTGTATTACTTGAATATTTTGTGCTAAATATTTTGTGCTTGTGATATTCAGTCTTTCTTTTAGTATAAAATAACATATTTTATAAAAGAGTAAGTAATCAAATAACATAAAAATAATATATTTTAAAACTTAAGTTCTAAGTAAAATGAATAAAATCATTTAATTTAATATTATAAATATATAATATAATTTGTTTTACTGAAGAAATATGCTTCCACAATTTGCTGACAAATTGTGTCAGTATCGTATTTTTTGCATAATATTTGTGTTACTTCTTAATACTCATCTCAAATTAAATTAACAAAATTTGAATGGATCGATGATTGAAATGTTATATTTAACACAAATTTTCCAACTCTGTGTGTGTGTGTGTGTGTGTGTGTGTGTGTGTATGTATGTGTGTGTGTGTGTATGTGCAGTTTTGGCCAAAATTAGAACTTATATTTTTTACATTCATCTATATTTCTTTTATCTTTATTGTTATCTGTTGATTACCAGCATTATTATAAATTTATAAAGAACTTTTGAAACGAAGGACAATGTATAGCAAATATCATAAATTAATTTTTAAATTAAAATTTTATATTAATAAGATGCCCCTAATATTTTTAGCCAAAACTATATATTGCAAAATTATGAGTGTATACAAGGTTCATATTGAGGCATTGAGCTGCAAAACGGACGCATTTATGTTGAAATGTATTTATTATATTTCGAATATACTGACACATCGACTGACACATCGATATGCGTATCGATATCCGTATAACGCCGTGTAACGTAAATATTTGATATAGTAGACAGTAATAATAGATATAGATTTACGAAGATAGATTCTTTGGAAGCCGTCAAGTATCCTTTCATTTTTCTCTATCTTTATATTCTTCTTTCTCTCGTCACGTCTCCCGGCGTTGAAAAACGCATTAAACTGGCGATTCCGCGTGTAACTACTATCTGCGAGAAATTAAACGCGAATAATCGCGCTAATGTAATCCTGATTGGCGCGAGCACGGAGAATTAATGCGCTAAAGGGAGACACATGCTCTTGTTACTTTTTTTTGGGGATACTTAACATAATAGTTTACACATATATTTTTTTTACGGTCATCGAATCCCGTCCTTTCGATTTTCATTTGCGAGGCGTTCGTCCAAACTCTCGTTCGATGAAATTTTGCGATCCTTTTCGGTGGCGAACGTTCGCGAAGTTCGATTTTCGTTACGATCAATTGTCGTGCGAATAAAATCTCTGTCAGGGATATCATTATTGTCTTTATAACTCGTTAATCGTTGTTCAGTTCAATGTAGGAGAGAAAGAATGGACGTATTTTCAGAAAGCCGTCCAGACGAATCCCAAGCAGAACAATAAGTCACGATAATGTCAAAATAATATTAAAATGAATCGTAAATGATTGAAAAATGACTTTTTTAAATGATTTTGGAATTATTTTGACATCATCTTGATATCATGATAACTTATTGTTCGACTTGGGATAGCACACCTCGCAAATAGATAAAACATCCTTTTCCCTTAATTATAGATATATCTATTCTCTCCTTTTAATCTTTCATAAGCTTATTTTTTTTTAACAAATAAAACGCATCAATTACTATAATTAGATATCATCTTCTTTTTCTTATAATTTTTTATAATTTTTTAATTCAGGATTTTGAAATCTCGCTCTGATGAGGAATTTATACGCATCATATGCAAAAAATGTTGTTTTACATATCAAGTACCATCATATTTTTGAGATCTCGAATCGAAAAGAAACGGATAAATGGAAAAAACGGATAAACTCCACACTCAGAAAAAAAACATAATGGCAATTGTAAAGGTGACAATTATATAAATAAATTAAATAAGTGGAATCAGTATATATAGTTGAATATACTGATGTAATTAAATAAACTATTAATAGTTGCAATAATTATAAAATAGTTAATTATCAATGTGTTAATTCTACACATTAATTCTACACATAAAACTTATATTTGTCATCTTTATATATACTACCACTATATCTTTTTTTCCGAGTACATTTGCAAAATTATTGTTTTTTCTTCGTACTACTTTTTTTCAGCATTCTGAGAAAATTAATACGTCTCTGTCATTCTGATCCATTTTAATTCGATTCGAGAATGATTCTTCGTACATCGTTTAATCCTCAACTGGTACCATACGTACAGTATCTTCATGATTAAAACACACACAAGGGATGCATCATAAAATTATCGTATTCGAGATATCGGGCATCCGAAAAAAATGTGATATCAGATGTCCGTAATTATCCGGCCAGATAATCGGATATTTTTCCGGATATCTGGTACTAATTCTAAAGAAAGAAAAAAATAAGAAAAAAATATCGATAATAATTTTCTTTATCTTCTCAACGTGAAAAGGAAAAGAAGAAAGATGAACTGTGCAAGAAGTTTAATAATTTTTTCCTTGCTTTTCTTTTTTTTTAGAATTTTTAGAAATTATTATATGGATATTCGATCAGTTATAGGACACATACACCGGTATCACATTCTTTTCGGATATCAGATAATTTTATGATCCTGTACATTCCTATCTTGGAAATCTATGCTGTATGGATTGTATAATACTTTGTGAGGATTAATCTTGATTCATGCTTCATTACGACGGAAGATTCTTTAACCCTTTGTGGACCGGCAACCTCATTTGAAGTCATCTCTTTTTATTTTATGAACTGCTTGCTCTCGATCTTTATAAAGCTTAACTTATGAAGCTATGAAAAATTTGATGTTTCGAATCTGAGATCAAAAATAAAAAATTACAAAAAAATGGTGGATTTAATATAGCGGAATTTAAAAAAATAATTTGACCGTCGTAAAACTCTTAGGGAATTTTTAAGTGCGAAGTATAACATCAAGTTTTCAATTTTGCTTTATTTCAAGCTCATCAGTGCTACATAAACAATACTAATTTCTAAACTGATTTTCAAACTTTGATTATGAACCTTGTGATATTAGATCTTCATTTACGGAGACTATTATTTTTCGATATTTTCAGGCTATATTCAAACTCAAAAGTACTTAATTCTTCCGAAACCGAATTTCACGGTAATCGGATTATTTTTTGGAATTTAAATTTACAATTTTGAGGCCAGAATCGAATTCAGCGACTCCAAAAACACTCAGAAAACAAAATCTTCCATAAATTATTTTATCAGAAAGCTCCGGTCCTCAAAGAGCAAGATTAATAATAGTAAACCGCCGATTATCCGGACAAAGCTTCTAAGTAGAAAAGAAACGTAGGCCAAAAATGATTGAATAAAATAACAAATGTAAGGAACAACAACAAAGTTTCGACATAAATTAAAAATCTCTGTTCACATCGGATCATCAGAGGGACTCGATATTCAGGCGATACCCGGTTAATCCGGATAACTGGCGGTCCACCGTATCGTGCGGCCGAACCGGGGTGGCTTCCTCTCGCTCGCCTGATTCTTAGCGTTCGTACATGGTTTGCTGCAACGCGTCGAGGGCGCCTTCATGGTGGGAGCGATGCCCGGTGCCCTCATACGCTGGCGACGTGCGGAAATATCGATGTTCATATCGTGCGTGATATCGTCGCAAACACGAGTCGCGGGCATTCCGCTCGCGACACTGCGTAGTCGCCGCTCTGGGCGGATGTAGTTGCGATAGCAGCAACGCGGTGTTTGCGCATGACTGCCTCTCGCTCTCGTGCACCGCCGACATCCGCGGCTGCTCGTCTCTGGACTCCAACGCGTCGCACACCTTGTCGGCCTCCAGGGCGAAGTTGGCGAGGCAGGGTAACAGCCCCTCCTCGTCCTGCGTCTGGTAAAAATCAGTTTGCTGTAGCCTTTCCGTAGAACAAGGAATTTACAGGAACAGGAAATTAGAGCGGAGTGTTCTTTAAATCTTGAACCTATCTTAATAGAGTTCCCTGATGAAAATTTTTCTTAGTGTTTTGTATAATTTTTCAGAATTTCTGGATATATTTTAGAATTTTTCAGAATTTTTCTATAATATTTTCCTTAAGTTCTGAATTATCAAAAATATCTATAACATAAAAAGGGTCTATATAACTTACGCAAGCTTTGCAGATTTGCAGTTTCACACAGGGCACATAGAGCATCCGAGACGTGTCGCCGGCCAAATTATCTACAGTTCGGCATCGCCATTCGATACTTTCTAATTCCGGGCAACTTTTAGGCTCCTCGATGACTGTATAATTCAAACAATAATTATATTATATCTGCATTTTATATGTATGTATATAT